CCAGCTACTTGGGAGGCTGAGGCACGAGAATCGTGTGAACCTAGGAGGTGGAGGTTGTAGTGAGCCCAGATTGTGCCACTGCACTTCAGCCCGGGCGACAAAGCAAGACTCCATCTTTTTTTTTTTTTTTTTTTTTTGAGACGGAGTCTCACTCTGTCGCCCAGGCTGGAGTACAGTAGCCGGATCTCAGCTCACTGCAAGCTCCGCCTCCCGGGTTCACGCCATTCTGCTGCCTCAGCCTCCCGAGTAGCTGGGACTACAGGTGCCCGCCACCTCGCCCGGCTAGTTTTTTGTATTTTTTAGTAGAGACGGGGTTTCACTGTGTTAGCCAGGATGGTCTCCATCTCCTGACCTCGTGATCCGCCCGTCTCGGCCTCCCAAAGTGCTGGGATTACAGGCTTGAGCCACCGCGTCTATCTTTTTTTTTTTAAGAAAAAAGTCAGACCTGAGTTCAGATTTTACTGTGGTGTTACCTTGGGGAAGTTAGTTATTTCTCTAAGCTTCATTTTTTTCATCTGTAGATTGGCGAGGGAGGATACCTTCCAGAACTGCTATGAGGATTAGAATGAGGGAAATGAATACAGTTATTGACTAGTAGGTGTTGAGACAATAATAAACAATACAGACTAAATAATCTTAGCTAACATTATTTGTCAACATTACCCAAGGTAGGGTATGGATAAGTGCCAACATGGATGGTCCTATAAAATTCAGAGATGTGGGAGCCTCTGAAAGCTGAAGTGGGTCAGTCAGCTTCATGGAAGAGGGGGCACATGAACCAGATTTTTGAGAGATGACTAGCTTTTTTTTTTTTGTAGTTTACAGATGCTTTATTTGGCTATGTATTGTTTATATTGTTGGAATTAGATGCCAACATTTAAAAATTGGGTAATTTCTCATGAACCCATATTTCTAGCTTCTTCTGAAATATTGAAGACTGGCAACACATGGCCTGCATTTCAGAAATCAGAGCTGAGTAGGAGCTGCTGTCTTTAGAAAAGACATCCTTTGTCCTGTACCCTGAGGTATTTGAGTTTGAAACCCCATTTATAATCCCTTACGATCTTTTCTCCGTTAGATAATGTGTTAGTTTCCTATCACTGCTATAACAAATTACCACAGTGACTTAAAATGAATTTATTCTCTTATGGTTCTGGAGGTCTGAAGTCTAAAATGGGTGAGCAGGGCTATGTTACTTCTGCAGGCTCCAGGGAGAGTCCATTTCCTTGGCTCTTCCAGTTTCTAGAGGCCACCTGCATTCCTTGGCTAATGGTCCCTTCCTCCATCTTCATAGAGATGGTTGAGGTTTTAACTGGATGTAGGGAAAAGCTTCATGTCTCCTTCTGCTTGTTCATTTGTAATACAAATGTGGATTGAGGATCTACTGTGTGTCACCTGTGCTGAGTGCAGGAACAGTGACAAGACAGATACCCTGATCTCATGGAACTTACATGCTTGAGGGTAAGATAGGGGTTGAGGAAGAAGACAATAAAAATGTGAAAAGTTCATTAAGAAGAGAAACATTGCCCAGCATGGTGGCTTATGCCTGTAATCCTAGCACTTTGGGAGACTGAGGCAGGCTGATCACTTGAGCCCAGAAGTTCGAGATCAGCCTGCCAATGTGGTAAAACCCCGTTTCTACAAAAAAAAAAAAAAAAAAAAAAAAAAAGAGTGTGTGCCTGCTGTAGTCCCAGCTAGTCAGAAGATTGAGGTGGGAGGATTGCTTGAACCTGACAGGTCAAGGATATAATAAACCATAATTGTGTCACCACACTCCAGCTAGGATAACAGAAGGAGATCCTATCTCCCCCCCCACCAAAAAAAAAAGGCAAATATCTAGAGTATGTGTGAGCTATACAGAGACTTAAAAGTGGCCGGGTGGCTATTATAGCTGGGTAGTACAGGAAGGTCTCTCTGTAGAGGTGACATGTGATCTCAAGTATAGTGATGAGAAGGACCTAGCCATGCCGTGATCAGAAAGACTTTTATAGGCACAAGGAAGCGCGTGTGCCAAGGCCCTGAGGCAGGAATGAGCTCAGGATATGCAAAGAGCAGAAAGGAGGTGGGTGTGGCTGGAGCATGGTGAATGGGAGCAGAGCTGCAAGAGGACTGGCAAAGTCAGAGTACCTTGACTGGGCCAGAGTTTTGATTTTATCTTAAATATTATAGGAAGCCATTGGAGGGTTTTAAGGAGGTTGCTAACATGATCTTAGATATTTGGAAACGCTCACTCTGAGTGTATGTGCAGAGTGGATTGTAGGGGCGGTAGTCCAGGTAGAGATGATGGAGGCTTGGACTGAGTGCTGCTATTAGAAATGGAGAGAAGTGGGTGGTTTTGAGAAAAACCCAGCAGCTGTGCTTCTTTGTTCCTTTTTCCTAGCATGCTACAGCTTTGGTTTATTTTAGGCCCTATGCTGTGCTCTGAGGAGACCGCCCCTGGGCGTTGCCAGCTTCATGCCTGGGAGGAGGAGAGTGACAGTCCTGGGCACAGTGCTTGTCTGGCTTCTGCATAGCCTGTCAGTGTGGAGGTGACGCTGTGGCCAGCCTTGCTCAGCGATGTCTTTCTGGAATGTTGACCACTTAGGTCATGTCTGGACATTCTTACCCCAGACCTTGTCTCCATCCCAAACTAAACATGTCCATTTGCTGTTAATTCCACCTCCCTTTGGAGGAACTCTTTCCTTGCCTTTGCTGATGGAGAAGTCTAGCTAAACCCTGCGGATCTTCCATCTCTCCCAATCTTGCCCAGAAAGGGATGGGGCATCCCTAGAGTACTGTGTCCCTGAGTGGAAGAGTTCACCTGGGCTCAGCCCTGCACTGCGTTCTCTACCAGCCTTTGCCAGTATCTTCACCCTGTGTCACGGGTTGAAGAGCCCCAAGCCCGTGGAGTCATGTTGTTGGTGGAGAGTGCCCTCACTGTGTATTCCCCATTGTGTGCAGTGATTTTTAGCACAAGAGTTATTTTTAACTTAGTTTTCCCAGCCCCTTAGATGCCTTCTCACTGTTTAGGAAGAAGAGATTAATAATATCTCTTCCATTGCATATGTGCAGCACTTTCCGGTTTCTAATGAGTTTTCAAAGACATTAACTTACTGTTTCTCACAAGAGTCCCAGGAGATGTGTGGGCCACCCTTCCCCCGCATTGTTACTTTTTAATAAAAAGTAATCACACAGTGATTACTGGGTTAATAAACACACGAGGATTCTGCAGTTCTAAACGATGCTGGTGGCCATTTCTTTCTATTTCCTTAGTGCTGTTGGCTGAATGTTCCTTTATGCTGTAGGAATAAAACGTGCTTGCTGTTGCATTTAGCGATCTGAAATGACCTGTCTTAGGGATGAGGAAATGAGGCTGAGAGCTGCCAGGACTTGTTGCAGACTATGCAGCTGGGCCTGGGCTAGAGGGCAGGTGGCCCAGAGCTGCTTTATCCTGCCATTGTGGTTCTCTATGCTGGGCCTTCTGGTATCTCCCTGGAGGCTGGTTTGAGACTGTGATTGCTGGTGCCTTGGTGAAAGAGGCAGTTATTTTTTTTTTTTTTATTTTTTGAGACAGTGTCTCACTCTGTTGCCTAGGCTGGAATACAGTGGCGCAATCACGCCTCACTGTGCAGCCTCAACCTTCTGGGCTCAGATTATCCTCCCACCTCAGCCTCCTGAATAGCTGGCACTACAGGCACGTGCCACCGGGCCTGGCTAAGTTTTGTATTTTTTGTAGAGATGAGGTTTCACCATGCTCTCAGGCTGGTCTCGAGTTCCTGAGCTTGAGCAGTCCTCCCACCTCAGCCACCCAAAGTGCCAGGATTACAGGCATGAGCCACTGTGCCCGGCTGAAAGGGGTAATTCTTAACCATACTGCAGGAAAGGAACATGAGGGCCTTTTCCCCCTACATCACGTTGACTGTCCTAAAAATGCCTTGGGTCTGGCCAGCAGCCCCATTCCCCACCCTGAACGTTCTTAACCTTACCAGGTCCTTTGGCTTTCGAGAATCCTGATAACTGCAGAAGGAGCAGCAGCTCTGTACTCAGGCAGGCGTGGCTTTGGATCCTGGCCTACCATTAACTTGTCAGTGGGCAGGTTACTTAAAGATTCTCTCTTTGAACCTCAGTTTTCTCATTTGCTATTGGTCTTATCCTAGAGAGTGATGAGCGTGAGAGATAAAGTGTCATGCATTGGCAGCCTGGCATAGGGCTTCAGAGTCCAGACTCTGGAGTTGACTGCCTGGGTTCAAATCCTGCCTCTGCTACTTAATTAGCTGTGTGATTTCGGGCAAGTTACTTAAGCTCTCTGTGCCTCACTGGCTATTACCAGAAGTTGCACTTTGACTTGTACCCTTTGCCTAGGCATAAGAATTTCTTACTTTCTTCACTCCCTAACCCCCTTACATACAGAGGCAAGGGGATTATCAGCCGAGAAGACCTTGGTTTTGGACATGACATTTTATTTTGCGGAAGCCTCCTGGATTGGATGAAGCATTTCCGCTCACTCCCTAACAGGAAGGGATGGGGTCTGCATGGGAGAGATTGGTGATGCTACCTCAGAGGAGGACCCAAACAGGAAGTTTGGAAACAAGTCAGTATCTACAGAAATTTAAGTTAGGGAATTATTGGTGCTTAACACAGAAATTCAGCCTTACTCTTCAGAAAAATAGCAGATGCCTAAATGTCAGTGGCAAGGAGGGGAGAAGGCTCTTGGTTTGATTTTTGAGTAAGATCTCAGTGAAGAAAGAGCAGTTTTTATCTGTTTCTCCTGATGTGCTTTTGTTCTCCTAGTGAGGAAATAGAGGCTAAAGGGAACAGCTCTCTCTGCCCTTAATTAATTAGAGTCTTCTGCAGTGTGTGCTCATCTGTTGTTTTCAGCTAGACTATTGGCTCCTTGAGGGTGGGTGCCAAGGATTCCCCAGTCTTCGTAGTCCCCGCTGTGCCTAGCACAAGGCTAAGCAAGCAGAACAGTCTGCTCATGAGTGATCAAGGCCCACTTTGTTGTCATCTTTGTTTTCCAGAGTGAGTATATTGCTCCGTGTGACTGTCGGCGGGCTTTTGTCTCTGGATTCGATGGCTCTGCGGGTGAGTCACTGCATTTTCTCTGTTCTTGCTGCACCTTTGTTCGCCTCCTAAAAATAACTGAACCGAGTTTCAGCCTGTGATATAGAAGCAAAAAGAAAATGCAAACCAGATGCTCCACATTGACTCTCTGCAGAAAGGTGTGGGTTCCCAGCCTTTCCCGGCTCCCCAAGGTCGCCTTGCAGTAACCCTTTTTATTCCTCTCTGTACCTTTGCTTTCAAAGTTTTAACAATTCTTATTTTTAAAAAGTTTTCGAACTTTTTATTGAATATAACATACATATAAAAGTTCTATCAATTAAACTGACTATACCTGTGTTACTAGCATCCCAAATAAGAAATGAGACTGTAATTTCGTTTCAGACCCTCCTCTCTTAGCTTATTGGTCCCAAGTAATTCTCCCAAGTGCTTGGCTTTTGGTTTCTCTGTTTTCACTCTTGGCTTAAATAACACAGGTTAATGTTAAGCTGCATTGGTGTTCCTCAAAACCATGATGCCTTTGAGTTTTAGGGTGGACTCCCCACTTCAGATTTGTCTCTAAAGCAAGCTGGACAAGGTGGGAGCTCCCCTCCCCTCACAGTTATTAGCACGCTGCTTCCTTTGGCGTAAGTGCTTGTGTTGGTTGGCACATTAGGATTGACTTTGGCTGACACCTCTGCCAAAACCCCAAGTTCTGCCAGGTCTGTGGGAACGGAGGGTGGATAGAGGTAGGAGGCATAAGCTTCCTGCTAGTGACCACAGCAGGAACGCTCATAGGGCCCATTTGGTCTTTCTCCAGGAAAGGTGAAACAGCTCTTCTGGTGTGTCTAGTGGAGCAGAGGAGTAGCTATGATTGCTGAGCAGGAACCATCTCTCCCTGTGTCTTGATTATACAAGACCACTTTGGCCATGCGTCTACAGTTCTCCATTCTCTGTTTTTGACTTGTACTGCGCAAGTGCAGTCTTTTTTGTACAGGGACCAGTGCCAGGCAGCTTGGGTCTCAGGACTGTTCTTTCAGAGCTTGACACACAGCTTGTTCTCAGTGGTGTGGTCTTATCTTGCCCAGAGGTTTCTTTGGAGTTAAGGACCCATCTGCCCCACTAGGAGGAGCTGGTGCCTCTTACTGCTCTCACCTGCCTGCTGTCATTTTGTGCAGCTTCTGGGCAGTTGTTAGAAACCTTTCTTCTTCTTTTTTTTTTTCCTCCCCTGCTTCAGGCACAGCCATCATCACAGAAGAGCATGCGGCCATGTGGACCGACGGGCGCTACTTTCTCCAGGCTGCCAAGCAAATGGACAGCAACTGGACACTCATGAAGATGGGTGGGTATAGGCATGGCTAGCCTAAACTTAATTGGCCTGGTCTTGGCAGGGATCCTAGAAGTCCTCAGGACTCCTGGATCGTACTCCTTTTGTGCAGTCATGGACCTTTTGGAGAATCCAGGGGAAACTGAGGGGAAAAAAATGGCATGCTTATACATACATAACAATGTACATTCAATTTTGGAGGACGCTGGTTCAGGATACTCATTTTATTGAGGGGAAACTGAGGGCTAGAGAGGACAGTTGATTTGCTGCAGATCACATTGCTGTGCATTTCACTTCGGTACTGGGGGCCTTCTACTATTTGCTGCCTCATGATTCAGAGTGAGATAAAGGCAAGGAGTCATTGGCAACAGGAGCCAGAAAGTTTTCCCCCGAGGCTCTCTCTGAGGATCTTGGATTTGCTTCTGGCAGCTTAGCTCTGGAGAAGAGCAGCATGCAGAACAAGCGAATGGGTCTGGAACTTTCTTGGGCTAGTCGCTTCACTTGCAGTGCTTTAGTTTCCTCATCTGTAAAATGGATTAATCACAGTAAGTAAATAACATATAAAGTGGTGAGAATTAAAGCAATACTATGTGGAAAGTGTATAGATCAATATTTATTGAATAATGTGTGTATGTATTCTGTTTTCATTTAATTTACTGCTGTGTGTATTTTCCTGTCATTAAAATAGTCTTTAGAAATACGGTTTTAGGGACTGTACAAAGTCTTTGCTTCCTGAATTTTGAACTTGGGGAACAGAAGAGAAGGAAGGGCCAAGTGAGAAAGAGAAGATGAAACAAAATACCTGATGCTTCTTGTTTGTTGTAGGAAATAATGAGGAAAGGAAATAGTCCCCAGACTCACAGCAGGGAACAGAGGATTAGACCATGACCCTGAGATCCAGGCAGCCAGCTGACCGAGGGGTGTGTGCACTCAGGTGTACGCCACACACCCTCCACACACACACACACACACACACACACACACACACACACACACACACGTTCTTTGTCTTTGGGAAGAACAAGGAACATTTTTGTCCTGGCATTGGATTAAGTTTCTATTTCTCAAAAATCATTTCATAAATATAAAAACACCAAAGCTACAGATTGTTGCCTGTGCTGCATTTGATTTCTCCTTCCCCTTCTCTCTGTCTGTCTCTCTCTCTCTCTCTCTCTCACACACACACACACACACACACACACACACACACACACACGCAGGCAGGCATTTGAGACTGGCTGTTATAAATGGACAGGCTAGTGGTCTTTAAATTTTTTTGTTTGCGTGCTTCTGTTAATGGGAGTCAAGTACCCACAACATGTATGTATGTTTATATGTTATTTATATGTGCTAGTGTTCCTCTATATTCCAAATACCAAAAACTAACTTTGTAATTGCTTTATAAAAAATAAATACAAATAGAAGCTCTGATACTTACTTCTTGCACCCACTAGAACATTGTGTCCCCCCCCTGGGGAGCAGGCATCTCTCTTTGGGGCCCACAGATTCCGTCTGTTAGGTCTGTTAGTATTTTGGGGGTCAGAATGTTAGAGGGGTGAACACTGCCTACCTGTTCCTTAATGTAGGTATGTGGCAGCACGGGGTGGCAGAGGGAGTGAATCCTCCTCTCTTCCAGGCTCCTCCCTAGTTTCCTCAGTCAAGTGTGTAGGGAGATTCTGGTGGGTTTGGTTGGCCAGTGAGTGATTCATCCCTGGGGTTTTGCCGAAGATCTGTCTGCTAGGAAATGACATGGCTTCATCCTGTGAAAGCTATACTATATAGTGTACTAGGGCATTCAGAGAAACTGTGTTAATAAGTGGCTTGTTTAGTGGTTTGAAAAAACATAGGAAAGAATCAAATAGCAGAATGAAACTCAATGTCAGCTTCTAGGCATTTTTTTGGAGTTGGGATTCATGAGCTTCTTTCTTTATAAACCTTTGCACTTCCCTTGTGTGGTTATGTGGTTATATCAGTAGTCAGTAGAGAAAAATAGTAAAGATAAGTTTCTACTGTTTTAGAATATGTGAACTTTTACTCTAAATATATGTTTATTTTATCAAGATGTTAATTATTTGGCCAAAATCTGATTGGTTAAAAAAAGTATACATCTCAAAGATAACTGGCTAGATATGGAAGATGTTGGCTTAGATTAAAGGAAAACTGGACTATAGAAGTAATTTTAGTTCCATTCTGGAGGCTGATATAGTGTCCTGTGACTAACGTCTTAGAAACAGAAAGGGCTGTCTCATCCTGGAAGTTGGGGAACCCAGAGGCCTATGTTAAAGACAACAGGACGGCCAGCACTTTGGGACGCTAAGGCGGGAGGATCACTTGAGGCCAGGAGTTCGAGACCAGCCTGGCTAACATGGTGAAACCCCATCTTTACTAAGAATACAAAATTCCTTGGATGTGGTAGCATGAGTCTGTAATCCCAGCTACTTGGGAGGCTGAGGCAGGAGAATCGCTTGAACCCAGGAGGGGGAGGTTGCAGCGAGCCGAGATGGTGCCACTGCACTCCAGCCTGCGTAACAGAGTGAGACCGTGTCTTCAAAAGTAAATAAATAAATAAATAAAGACATCAGGATGGGTGCCTGTGTGCCTCTCCTATAAGCTTTGGAAAGATCTCTTTGCTGCCGAGACTTGTGCTTAGCCCTCTATGCAGGGGCTGGTTATGGGGCAGGGGCCTTCTCTTGGCCACCCTGCCCTTGCAGATGAGTGGCGGGCACTGGGAGCGTGTTATCACCTTACCTGGTGTGTGATATGTGGGAGGCTCCCAGTTCCCAGACTTCACCAAATCACTGCCCACATTCTCATCAAGTGACCGGTAGTGGGGAAGTGACTGAACTGAGGAGATTATCTTTGTGGTGACACCATGTGCCTACGTGGCAGTGATCCCCAGGATATTTTTATAAGGAGTCAAGTGAAAAATCGTACTTTTTTCCCTTCTGTCTCACCCTTGTCTTATGCTTTTCATACACACAAACTTACACTTCTCCGTCTTTCTATCACCTTCCAGGATTAAGGGAGGTTCAAAGATTTTCTAAGTCCTATCAATCCACTTTAAAGAAGCTGCTTAATAAAGACCCTGCTATCATGATGTTAGAGAATTGTATCCTTCTGGTGGGATAATAAGCGCGGACCCACTGGGAATTGTTTCTTATCAGTTCTTCCCCGCGTAGGTCTGAAGGATACACCAACTCAGGAAGACTGGCTGGTGAGTGTGCTTCCTGAAGGATCCAGGGTTGGTGTGGACCCCTTAATCATTCCTACAGGTAAGTGAGCTTGGTTCTTTTCTGCTTGGGTAAGGAAGTGGCTTTTAGACTCTCCTCCATCCTCTTGGTTTGCTTTTGGGGTGTGGAGCATTGAGGGCCTCAGCATGACTGATTTTATAGTAGAGGTCAAGGTGAGGAGAAGAGTTCCACTGTTGGTGAAGATGTGCTTTTACAGTTCTTCATCCTGCACACCCAGCTCTGGGCCACGGCAGGACCACCTTTCTGAAGGTTCCGGATTTTCAAGGCTCTGCTGCCTGCCCTGCTGCAATGGGCGTTTGGCTCATGGCTGGGCCACAATGTGTCTCCTCAGATTATTGGAAGAAAATGGCCAAGGTTCTGAGAAGTGCCGGCCACCACCTCATTCCCGTCAAGGAGAACCTCGTTGACAAAATCTGGACAGACCGTCCTGAGCGCCCTTGCAAGCCTCTCCTCACACTGGGCCTGGATTACACAGGTCAGAATCACGGTTCCACCCAGCAGGGCCCCCATCATTGTCCCCCTACCTCTTGCTATTGTCTCCAACCTCTTCCTCCGAATCCAAGTTGAGTTTGAGCTGACGGGAGGATTTTGCCCTCCTCTGCTCCAGTGGGATATTTGAAGAAGCAGGAGCTTTATTTGTTTCCACTGTTGCCACCTACTTGCCACTTAGTTTGGCTTTGGTTATTTTTGCAAAGCTCGTTTGGGTGACTTTTTGGGTGCTGCTGAAAGGACTGAGTTTTTTTTTTTTTTACCACTCAGCTGCTAACTGCCACTGGAACATATTTGATATTGGAAATAGAGCATAGAGGTTTCTAGGTTCCATTTCCCTTCTTATGTCAGCATTTGTAGATGTACCTTCCTAGGCCTCTGTCCTCCGTCTTGTACCTTCTGCTTTAGAGGCTTTGGGGTGTGGGTGTGTTTCCCTGGCCTGTGTGATAGTGCTGGGTAAGCAGCGTGTTCTCGGAACCATTGTGTGGATTTAGGAAGCAGTGAAGGGGCAGAGGGAGAGGCCTGGAGGTGGGGCTGCAGGGGAGGGCGTCTTGCTGTAGAAACAGAGGTAGATGGGGGATGACTGTGGAATGTAGGCAGGTTGCCCAGAGGGGTCCTGGGAAGAAAACATGACAGCCTAGATTCTGGGCCAAGTTTTAAATAGCATTCCCGAACTGATCTTCAAAGCAGACCTGGGTGTGGGGGCAGCTCCCAGCCTGCTTTCTTGTGTGACATCTTCACTAGAGGGGTATTGCTGAATGGGGAGGATGGGTCCAGTGAGTGGCCCAGGGTCAGCTAAATATTTTCTGTCAGCGTGGTTTGAAATTTTTTTCACTAGAGCAGAAGCTCTGACTTGTTGCTTGTAGGAGAGGGGAGAGCAAATGTTGCTGATAAAGCTTTTGTTCAGTACACATTTGGGTGCCTACTATCTGCAGGACGCCGTGCAAGGTGCTGAGTGAATAAGACAGATGCCCACCCAGTTGGCTGTTCCCTGAGTTATGAATGCTGCCCTGGTAGGGTGGTTGTGGTGGCAATGGAGTGAGCTCCTCTAGCACCACAATTTCATCTTGCAGAGCAGCAGGGAGGCCTTGGCAGTATCTGAAAGGGCAAGTGTGATTTGGAAGTGGTAATCACAGTGAGTCAGACTACAGGGAATTCCTAGGTCTTAGCACTGAAAGGCAAGTCTTGCAGCCCCAGGAACATCAAATGGTGGGTGCCGTTCCCCTGACCTCTGAGTCTGGGTGAGTTCCCTCTGCTGGGTGGTATGTTGATGTAGCTCCCTGTGTGTCCCCTATTGCATCAGTATTTACAGTAGTGTGTTAATTGCTGGTTTCATTGTCTGTCTTCCCTTCTATATTATAAGCCCCATGAAGACAGGGACTGGGTCTGGCTCAGAGCTGTAACCACAGTGACCAGCAGAGTGCCTGGCATGTATCTATGCCTGGCAGATCTGGATGCTACACAGGCATTTGTGGGATGCGTAAATGAATGAATTTTACTGGTGAGGCAATCAAGGCTCACGACAGTTAAGTGGCTTGGACACCTCTTGTATAGGGCTTGAATCCAGGCCTCCTGTCTGTGTAAATATAGCGTGCTCCTTGTAAGAAGTGGTGCTGATTAAAGATGTTTGGGGTAGGTTCTTTAACTGGGTTCCTACTGCTTTCTGGCACCAGGGCTGGAGTTAAAGCACATTTGTTTCTTGCAGGCATCTCCTGGAAGGACAAGGTTGCAGACCTTCGGTTGAAAATGGCTGAGAGGAACGTCATGTGGTTTGTGGTCACTGCCTTGGATGAGATTGCGTGTGAGTGCTCTGGTTTCGCTGTTTGGGCATGTTACCCGATCTCTCCTTTGGGTCTCTGGGAATCTGTGTGTTCATGCCATTCAGCTTTTCTGAGTGGCCAGGGGATAAGCAGAAGACTATGTTCCAAATGGGTATAGGAGATGCCAATTAGGATGAAGGAGAAAGAATTACAGGGAACTGGGGAGGGGAGTAAGGCTTGCCCAGAGCAGTATTACAACTGGGTGATGCTCACCTCTGGCCAGTCCCTCAGGACCATGGCACCTCTAAGGAAGGGCATTTCCTACAAATATTTTATGTCTGTCAGCCTCTTTGTAGATGTAGAAGTGGGATCATAGCAGAGGCCTTCTTTCTTTACACTTGTCCTGTAGTTTCCTAAGGTCTTTATAGTGAGAATGTTCTGGGAACATTTCTACCTCAGAAAACTAGGAACCAAAAGTTCTTCCCCAAGCCCTTTGATATAATAGCAGTTTCTCAATCTTTAGACCTTAACCCACCTTCATGCAATTGTTCAGCACCTTCTTTCATCTAAAACCTGATGGAATCTGGTTGAACTTTCCTGTCCTGTCTTCTGGTTTCTGAGTCGATTTGACCCAGGGCAACTGAGGAGAGGCACTGCTTTATCTTTTTGCCTTCTCGCTAGAGAATGAGACCCTGCTGCAGTGTCCTCTCTCTTCAATTCCTGCGTCTTCCATCCCCAAAACATTGTCAAGTGTATCAGTGACTTACATCCTTAATTAACTTAATGACCTCAGCATCAGAGAAAAACACATGGAAAACTTTTTTCCCTCCCCGATTGTAACAAAAACACAATCTCATGATAGAAAACTTGGAAAGTGCAGAGGAAGTAAAAAGAAGAAGAAAAAAATCACCTATAAATTCTGTTACTTAGAGATGATCAGTGTCAATATTCTATGCATATATCATTTTATGGCCTGATTTTTTTCACTGTATCAGTATACTATAAGCATATATAAGCATAATTTTAAGTGAGTATTAAATATTCCATCATGTGGTTATACCATAATTTATTTAACTGTTTCTCTAAGGATGACCTTTGGGTTATTTGCAGTAATCCCGTAATTTATTACGATGCTACCATGAAAATCTTGGTTCATGAATCTACATCTTAGTGTTTGATAATTTTCTTCCTATTTCTGGTTGGCTTTTAGGGCTTTTGACCCATTTTGCCCTTTGCCTGCCAGAAAGTTTGCACCTTGATATTTGAATTTGTCCATCTTGTCACACCCTAACCCCAGGTACTGTCATTTTTTAAGAAGTGCTAGTATGATAGGTAAAAAATGTTGCCTCATCACTTTATTTTGAGAAGCCATTATTTTAAAATAGAGGTTGTACGTTTAATGCCCAGGCCTTTTTTTGCTCTGATCCTCATGAGAACAAGTGATGGAAGCTGGAAGTCGTGGGACCAGAACTGTGCTCTCTCCTGGTCTCTCTCGTTCTCAGACGTTCAGCAACATCACTGACACTGGCTGTCCGCAGGTCCTCCACCCAGTCGTGGTGCCGGGGCAGACCCATGGGTGGGCTGCAGGCTCTGATTTCATTCGTGAGCTGCAGCCTCGCTGACTCACTGCTTTTCTTTCCACCTCTGACAGGAAGCTCCGTCACTATGGGGCTCACTGACCCTTACAGAGGAGGCTTGCCTGGCTTCCCTTGTGTGGGGGTCTCAGTTTTTCTACCCTAGGTCATCTGCCTCAGAAGGGAGAGAGTGCTTGTCTCCTTCCCTTTTATTTGGGAGTGCTAGAGGTTTGTCGGCTTCAAGGCCAGGCCTGGCAGGTCACCACTAGGCGGATTGCATTTCAACTGCTTGTGGGGGCAGTTCTCAGGATTTTGACTAATAGCTTTTATTCCCTTCTCCCGGCAGTGATGTGGAAGCATGAGAAACAGCTTTGGTGCCCTCACGTGGTGGACGTGAGCAATTGCAGTTCAGAGGTGGAACCAGACAGAGTCAGGCTCCCAGCCTTTCTGTGTGATTCCACTGAATCCTTCCACAGCAGCTGGACTCCACGCTGAAGCTCTTCCCTCCCCCTACAAGTGACCCCTTAGAATCTTAAGTCAGACAGGTGACAGGGACTTTGATTTCTTTTCTAGGGCTATTTAATCTCCGAGGATCAGATGTGGAGCACAATCCAGTATTTTTCTCCTACGCAATCATAGGACTAGAGACGATCATGTGAGTGTTTGCCCCGCATCTGGAACTCCCTTCCACAGCTCCTCAGAGCCCTCGTGTGCCCTTTCTGGTCCTGGCCCACCCATCACTGTCTGATAGTTCACTGATGTGCTTCTTTTTTCTTGCCCTTTTAACATTTTCCCTTCTTGTCTTCCCTAGCAGTAGGTGTTTATTTATATCCTGCCTCTCTTTGAGCCCCCAAAATGATTTGAAACGCATGAAAGTGTCTGTAGTACTGTGAGACTAAAAAACAAGTAGGTGAGGACGTTAGGACCAAGCTGGAGTGAGGTTAGTTCACAACATTTTTGCTGCAAGGTCTTGTTCAGGCCACACATTCTTTGGCAAGTTTTCTAGCAGCCAGTGTAAAGGGGTATATATGTTCAACTGTACAATTCTGGGTCCACAATGCAAATAAACCCAGTCATTTTGAAGGTCAAAAATAATATGGGAAAACCCCTCCAGCTTACGCTTTGTTGAATTGTCAGTTTATTTTTTCAAAGCATTTCTTATAGCCTTTTTTTCATTACTGTTGTAGTTAAATAGCTTTTTGTATTAAGACAACACATTTATTAAGTGCCGGTGATGTGCTTAGGGTCTCTGTTAGATGCTAGGGTGACTGAAACAGGACGGGGTCCTGGGTTGGAGTCAGGGAGATGAGCATGTCCTCTTTCTAAAGTATTTGGGCACATAAGTGGGCACCAGTGTGCTTGTGGGAAGGATGCAGGTGTTATGAGAGGGGCCTGACCTAGACTTGGAGATCAGAGGAGACTCTTGGGGAAAGTAATATTGAAGCAGAGAGTAAGGATAAATGTGGGTGAGTTAGGTGAATGGCAGGGTGAGGAGGAGCGGGGAACCGTGATCCAAGCAGAGGGAACAGCATTTTCAGACACTCTGGGCAGTAGAGAGCACAGTGCATGTGGAGGACCTGAAGTGGTTCAGTGAGGTCAGAACATAGTGAGGACAGAATGTGAGCAGGGGCAGCAGAGAAGAAAGGCCTTGTGGGCTGCATTCAGGAGCTTGGGTTCTTGCTCTGAACAAGAATAGTGGGAAGCTGTTGAAAGAATTTTTCAGAGGGAACCACGTGTTCGACGTACAACTTGTAAAGAATATTATGACTGAAACATCGGTAGACGGGGAAAGACTTAGAGGCTGTGGCACTAACCCAAGTGAGAGATGGTGGGACCTGAACCTGAGTGGTGACTGGGCGAGGCTGTAGTTGAGCTGGACAGATTAGATGGAGATTTAGGCTGTGGGTCCCAAGGTCTTAATGAAGGACGGGAAGAGGGTCATCAGTGAAGGACACTGCCCAGATTCCTGGCTTGGTGAATTGGGTGGATGATGACAACATAAACAGGGACAGGGAATGCAGCTTGGAGGGCAGGATTTGGGAAAGGAGTGGGGAGGAGAGAAAAGGGGCTTGGTTTTGGTTGCCAGGAAACAGAGCCTGATGTGTATGTGTGTCTGTGTTGCCACCCTCTCACTCATGTTCCCTCCTTTTGCTGCCACCCACTTGTCCTCCATCTGCAGGCTCTTCATTGATGGTGACCGCATAGACGCCCCCAGTGTGAAGGAGCACCTGCTTCTTGACTTGGGTCTGGAGGCCGAATACAGGATCCAGGTGCATCCCTACAAGTCCATCCTGAGCGAACTCAAGGCCCTGTGTGCTGATCTCTCCCCAAGGGAGAAGGTGTGGGTCAGCGACAAGGCCAGCTATGCTGTGAGCGAGGCCATCCCCAAGGTTGGTGACCCCACTTTGGTCCATCTAAACTCTGCCACCCGCTTCCCAGTTCTGGTATTGTCTTTGGAGCAGAGGCAGACTTCTGAGGCTGCCCGTTGGATCAGAACTGTGGTCTCCCTGGATGAGGCCTTAGAGCTGGAGCTGTATCAAGAGCCTGAGGGCCCTTATTGCTTGTTGAGTCTTGTGTTTTCCAGAGCATGGCATGAGAGATTATTTTAGGTGGTACACATTATTATTTAGGTTTACTTAAATGTATCTGTTTCAACAGCATTTAGCATATAGTAGAAAAACCATAACTAGCAGGAGTTCGTGATATTATAATTATTTAAAATAAAGTTGAATTTAATAAAGCTGATTTAAAGATGGTTTAAAGAAAAGTACTGAGTGAATAAGGGTACAGTGGATAAGAAGCTAGGGTAAAAACTGTGCAGGTGGTATGAGAATGCTTGAAGCTTGGGAAATGCTTCTCTACCCCCTCCTTCTGCCCCACCACATTTTATAGCTAAGGACACTTGAGGCCCAGAGAGGACTGGGGAGTTGGGGACTTGTCAAATTCAAGTGATAGTGATAGGCTTGCCCTTTACTGAGCCCTTGCTGGGCAGTGCTAAGCAGCTGACACTTGTTGCCTCATTTTAATTAGGGTCTGGGATAGGACTGGAATCCAGGCCTCTTTAGAGGTAGGCTTTTCTACTGTCCTGCCCTTGGCCTCTGGCTGCCAAGTGGCCTTTGGCAAGCCCAGTGATGTTCTCTCTTCTCCACTGATCAGTGGGCCATTCTGGGAAGAGACCAGGTCTGGCTGTCTAGATCTGGCTTGCCATTGTACCCCTGCCACCATCACACACAGTGTGACTCCTCCTCTCTCTCTCTTCTCTCTCTCTGGAGAGAAAGAGAAAAGGAGATAAGATCACGAAAGCAATTTGAGAAGCTCTGTGCAAGTGTCAGGTGTGCTGAGGCCCCGTCTGCTGGATTTTAACTTGTTCTCAAATTGGAAAGGGTCTTCTCTAGCCTTTTAAGATCAGATCATTATCAGTAGCTGAGATAGGACCACTGGGTGGGAAGGGAGGGAGCAGGAGACCTCACTCATCAGGTCATGTGCATCGCCAGACAGGGAGAAAAAGCCCCCTTTGTACAGCAAGAGAAGGGTGATTTCGGTCAGGCTTTCAGTGGTTAGTGAACTCTAACCACAACCACAGTGGTTTGGAAAGCAGTGTCTTGCTGATGGCAGGCAGCCAGCAGTCTCAAAGAGCTAAGGGAGTGAGGGATGGAAGAGAGACACCTTGTTTGATGTACCTGCTCTTTTTGGTTGAGCTTAAGCTCAGGGTCATCAATCAAAAGGTACAGGTCGTTGGGGCCCCAGGGGACAGCTATGTGGGTCCCCAGGGGGAGCTCTTCAAATGATTGGTCTAAAGTAAGTTCTGCTGAGCAAACAGGTTGTTGCCTTGGTCTTGAGTGGGTGCAGTAGGTTTGGTTTCCCACCCTACTGCCCTTTGCCTCTAGGACCACCGCTGCTGTATGCCTTATACCCCCATCTGCATCGCCAAAGCTGTGAAGAATTCAGCCGAGTCAGAAGGCATGAGGCGGGCTCACGTGAGTAGAGGAGCTGGTGCAGAAGATGGGATGTGAGGTGGTCAGAAGGCCTGGTGCCTTCACCTCCTCTGTGGCATTGAGCCTGGCACAAGGTTAGAATCTCTCTGAGCCTCAGCCTCCTGGCCTTCCAGAGTTAATGAGGGAATGAAATAAAATACTTGATGGATTAGATCTTTACAAAGTATAATACACAACACAAAAGGAGATATTGATGATAATAGTGTAGATGATGGTGATGACATGATGCTGATGAAGCCTCATAAAAGAGCCAGATTGTGTTTCAGAACAAAGGATGGGTCTCAAAAGATTTTGGGCTCAGAGGTGGCTTTTGATAGTGGCCTATTTTTTCCTGGCCCCTGTAGGGTTCTTAACCTTTAAGTTAACCTTTTGGAGGAAAAGGTGGGGCCTTTCCTGATTGTACCTGAACCACCGAATAGCAGAGGAGCCTTTCCCTGATAATGGGAGTTGCTGCACACACCGGCTTCCCAGAAATGTCCACATGTAAAGCTCTGGTTGCTGATGGTGTGTGACCCTGCAGGTACAGCCTTCTCAGTATTGCATTAGGGCTAGGCTCTGAATCTGGTCATGTGACTTTCAGTAATAACTTAAAAAAATGTCTCCATTGTTTGCACAGATTAAAGATGCTGTTGCCCTCTGTGAACTCTTTAACTGGCTGGAGAAAGAGGTTGGTTCTTAGTCTTTGTTTAATATGTGGGTATACATTATTCAGACCTACCTATATGTGATTCTAACTCTAGCATCCCCCATGCTCTGCTGACCATGAGGTCTGAGATCTTGATCAAATTTTTGGGCTCTATTTTAATAATACTCTCCGGAAATTTGGTGTGTGTAGATTTCAAAATTCTTTAATTATGAAAATAGTAACAAGAATGAAGAAAGAAGTTCCATAATAGAGTGGATGCTTTTTGGGTTAGGGAATCATAACTAAGTGGAATTTCATTATAAGGAAAAATGACTCTTATAATATTATTATAGGCAAGCTGATTGTATTAGGAGAAAAAGATCTTTGTGTACATTTTGAACTTCAGTTTAAGCCATGAACCTTTTTATATTAAATTGACTCTTGGCCGTTAATTTCTTACTCTAGTTGGCAAGAGGGTGGTTTCTCCGTGCTGTTGTTAAACAATATCATGTTCCCTTTAAGTACTGTATAAACAACTCTTTAATTGGAAAAAGAAAATATTGTCTTTATTCCCACCAGTGTAACTTTTTTCCTCATGTTTCCTTCTGGTGATTGTTCATCTATGTAAATTATTATTATTATTTTTAACTTTTTTTTTTTTGAGACGGAGTCTTGCTCTGTCACCCAGGCTGGAGTGCGGTGGCGCAATCTCTGCTCACTGAAAGCTCTGCCTCCTAGGTTCACTCCATTCTCCTGCCTCAGCCTCCCAAGTAGCTGGGACTACAGGTGCCCCCCACCACACCCGGCTAATTTTTTGTATTTTTAGTAGAGATGGGGTTTCACTGTGGTCTTGATCTCCTGACCTTGTGATCCACCCACCTCGGCCTCCCAAAGTGCTGGGATTACAGGCGTGAGCCACCACCCCCGGCCGTAAATTATTTTTAAAAATATAAATTATTTTTACATGTCTCTTAGTATGCAGATACATTTTTTTTTCTTTTTCTTTTTTTTCTTTTGAGATGGGGTCTCATCTGTTGCACGGGCTGGAGAGTAGTGGTGTGATCACAGCTCACTGCAGCCTCAGCCTCCCCAAGCTCAGGTGATACTCCCACCTCAGCCTCCCGAGTAGTTGGGACTTCAGGAGTGCATCATCACGCCCAGCTGATTTTTTCTGTTTTTTTTTTTTTTTTTTTTTTTTTTTTTTTTTTTTTTGTAGAGATGGGGTTTTGCCATGTTGCCCAGGCTCAAACTCCTGGGCTCAAGTGATCCGCCTATCTTGACCTCCCAAAGAGCTAGGAATATAGGTGTGAGCCATCACAACTGGTTTAGATATGATTCTGTGCTTTGTTTATTTCATTCTCTTAGACTCATAGTGTGAACATTTTCCATGTACATTGAGGCCTTAAAAAAGGATCCAAATGAAAACTCATCTAGTGGCTATACTGATTTACTAACCCAGTCCTCCTATTTTTAAATGTTTGGGTTGTTTTTAATTTTTTGCTGTTATCAGTAATCCTGCAATAATATCTCTGCATTTATCTTTTTTATTTCTCTAGAATGATTTTCTTAGGATGATTTCTTAGGAGGGGATGCTTTTGAATTTTTAAACTTAGATACATTGTTTTGGGAGGTTTTAGGATAAAATATTGAAGCACAATAGTTGAGTGAAAAATTAAATGAATAGAAACTGTTATATTTTAGATAGGTTTGGTGAGAACCTTTGGGAGTTCTCCCTTGCTGAGGATGTGTCCTGTAGATTGGGCAGTTGGGATGAAGAAATTGAGGAAAAAGTAAGCTTTTAAAGTATCTCCTCTAATTTGTAAGAGGCACACGTGGATTTATCTCACCAGATGATTATAAGCAATTTTCTCATAGGTTCCCAAAGGTGGTGTGACAGAGATCTCAGCTGCTGACAAAGCTGAGGAGTTTCGCAGGTAAGGATCCATTTGGGGGGACCCAGGAACCTCGTGCTGATTTTTCTTGCAAGTTGAATGAGGCTGGAAGGGCCCTGAATCTTAGCACAGTAAAAACCTTTAAGCCACTCTGCTTCTGTCTTTCTGTTACAGACAACAGGCAGACTTTGTGGACCTGAGCTTCCCAACGATTTCCAGTACGGGACCCAACGGCGCCATCATTCACTACGCGTAAGGCATGCGGAGGAGCATGCTGCCGGGCATTGCTGCTTCTGCACAGGAGCCTGAGCAGGGGAGAGACATTATTTTACCAGAGGCCTCTGTGCCCACCTTCATCTGTCTGTTGAGACTGTAAAATGAAGAGAAATAAGACCTCTAAGGTTTTATTTTCTCCCAATCCCCAAGCCTCTGCCTTTTGGGAGCCTCCTCTTAGGCTCAGTATGGCACTGGCATTCTCTACATTGTAGTCAGCTGGGTGTCCCTCTTTCCTTTTTGAAGCTGCAGGAACTGTATGTATAGCCCTTGCATCTTGATGACTGGGTTTTTTTTTTTTTTTTTTGAGACAGAGTCTCGCTCTGTCACCCAGGCTGGAGTGCAGTCGCGCGATCTCCGCTCAGTGCAAGCTCCGCTGCCTCCCAGGTTCACGCCATTCTCCTGCCTCAGCCTCCCCAGAAGCTGGGACTACAGGCGCCCACCACCACGCCTGGCTAATTTTCTTTTTTTGTATTTTTAGTAGAGACGGGGTTTCACCGTGTTCACCAGGATGGTCTAGATCTACTGACCTCGTGATCCGCCTGCCTCGGCCTCCCAAAGTGCTGGGATTACAGGCGTGAGCCACCGCGCCTGGCAGGGTTTTTTTTTTTTTTTTTTTTGAGACAAGGTCTTGCTCTGCTGCCCAGGCTGGAGTGCAGTGGTGCTGTCACGACTCACTGCAACTTTGAATTCCTAGACTTAAGCAGTTCTTCTGCCTCAGCCTCCTGAGTCGCTGGGACTAAAGGCGTGTGCTACCACTCCTGGCTAATTTTTACATTTTTTTTTTGTAGAGATGAGGATCTTGATGTGTTGCCCAGGCTTGTCTCGAATTTCTGGACTCAAGCAGTCCTCTTGCCTCAGCCTCCTAAAGTGCTGGGATTACAGGCGTGAGCCACTGTGCCTGACCTATGGCTGGAATTTTTGAGTGGTTTTCTTTCCTGGTAACAGCAGTTGTTTTGTACTAGTCTGTATATCTTTTGAGCTCCGTCAGTTGCATACCAAAAAACCTTAGCACTAGGTTGTGGGGCAACCTGTTTTGGGTGGAGAGTACCCTCTCTTCCTGTCTCCCTGAGCCTGACGCCTGGCATCCCAGTATGTGGTATATTTACCACATGGTCTACAAGAACCCATGGACCCACAGGGCTGAGCCTCCCTTCCCTGTGAGACAGAAGGGCACTGATATGTTTAGGACTGACAGATTTCCTGTCAGTCCTAAGACAGGATGGTGGGAAATGTCATTAGGTGTGGCCGTTGGGCTTCAGCCTCGGCTCTGCCTGATTCAAACTGCTTTGCTTTGCATTGGGTATTTTGAGTTCTGTGCTTCCCCATCTGTTATATGCACAGCCAGTGAAAGAACACTGTCTCTCTTTGCTGTGCTTGGGCACACATTTTTCCCCCTTTGAATAATTGCTTTTAGAGTTTTTCATCTTGGGGCAGATTTTGAAGCTGTGTGTGGGAGACAGTCACAGATGTGACAGTACAGTTCCCTCGCTTAATGCTTCTGTTCCAGCATAAAAATATCAGAGGGACTTCAGTTTTTGTTTAACTCAGGATGAATTTCCTGGCTGGATACTATCCTAGAATTTTGTGTATAATTAAAACATTAAACAATTTCATGCCAGTGGGGAAGAAATTTGCCTCTGCTTTGGCATTTCTTCATTGTGGGTGGTTGGAAGCCTGTTTAGAGGCAGGGTTCTGGAGGGCACCGGTTGTCTGTTTCAGTTGTTCAGCTTGTATGTGGACTGCTGCCCTTATTGCTGAAGAGGGGGTGGTACCTGGAGATGGAGGACAGCCTCACTTCAGCTGCAGGGCAGAAGCACGGAGTGCTCTCATCCCTTCGGGCGTTTCCCAGTGCAGTGATATGGTTTCGAAAATGGCGTGGGGAAAGCGATCACTTTTTGAAAATACCTCATGTTTGTTTGAAAAAAGAGCTCCAGCAGAAGAATATCATGATCCATTCCTTTTCCCAGCAAAATTCCTTTAGTTTTTCTCCCAAATAAGACATTTACCCCTGCCTGTCCAGTGGTCAGGGAAGCGAGTGGGGAGGTACCTGCTGGGGTCAGGGCTGAAGGAGGGGCCTGAAGGCTGAGGCAGGGGCCTGGGGCTCCCAGAGACAAGCAAGTCTGCAGTGACTCCAGGCTGCTCCTGTCCCAGTTCCCAGGACTCTAGCTAGGTCCTGCTGCTTCTAAGGATTCTCATTTTTTTAGCTTTGACAATTATCTTTTGAACACCTGTTTTATTCCAGACACAAACAAAGGTAGACATAAAGAAATGTGTTATTTTTCCCCTCTTGAGCTCTTTATCTCTGTTGGTGAGATAGGTCGATTGGATTTTTGAAAAGTAGAAGTTTAATATTAGTTGAAATAATTCATTTATTGGGTAACTTATTTTCATATGATTTCAGGCTTATGTAAGTTGCAAGAATAGTATAAAGAGCTCTTGTGTGTCCTCCTCCCAGATTCACTAAGTGTTACATTTGTGGAATAATTAATTTTTAATTAACTTTGTTAGGCCAGTCCCTGAGACGAATAGGACCTTGTCTCTGGATGAGGTGTACCTCATTGACTCGGGTGCTCAATACAAGTAAGTAAACCAGGACTGCTGTGGAACTTGACTCTGTGATTCAAGGCAGTTGAGAAGGTGGACAGCTGAGCTCCAGCTGAGAGTACTCAGCTGGTCATCACACCCTGTGCTGGCCACTAATGGAATCGTTCCTGTGTCTTGTCCTTTTTTTCACCCCTATTTGAAATAGCCCAATTGTGACTCTGTTCTCACAAAAGACTGTTTGATAGAAATGTTATAGTCCTTGGCCGGAAGTTTTAAAAATATAATTAAACAACTGTGAAATAAAGCAAGCTTTTGGAACGGTTGAAAGTTTTCTACCCCAGCCCATGAACCGCCTGCCGGTTCCCTGTACTTGCAGCCACCCCAGGGCCTTATGAAGTCAGGGATTCATTTTGAATGAATGGGTGAGAAATGAGGGCTGCCGCCAGATTTCTGAATTCCCTTCTCCATGCTGCTTTCACTGCTATCTTCTCTGGAAAAGTTCCTCAGAGAAGAACCCAAGATTTGGTTGGGTCTTGATACGGAACCCATGAGAAGGAGTAAGAATAGACCCTGTCTGCGTTAAGAGAGTACGAGCAAGGCCTTTTAATGCTGCTCCATTCCCCCACTGAATTTGGGACTGTGGCTAAGGGAGGACCTAATTATTGAATGAGCTCAGCCAATTATGTGGCAGCCATGCCTGGCCTTGGGACACGGGGGTGTTAATAATATCAGCCTAGAGCTAAGGATTGCTTGGTAATGGTGTAAACTTTTGTTCTCTCCTAAATTTTAGCAGAATTCTAGAAGTTATCCTTTCTATGTTAGGGATATAGTCTAGTATGTGTTAAGATATGTACTTGGATATTTTTAGGGTCTCTATCCAGGAATCCCCCTGCTGTCCTAACAGGAGGAGTTGGGTTTTGGCCCTCTTTTGCTAGAGATGGGCTCCTGTTTTCTTTGCCTTCTTGCGTCTTGTTCATAACCCCAGTGATAGTGTCTCTCATGAAGCAGCCCTTACGCTGTAGAATGTGTGTGTCAGGGGCTGATGTCACTCCCACTTTATTTAGCCATCCCTGCATTCACATTTTGTTTCATTTTTATTTTATTTTATTATTTATTTATTTATTTATTTTTTTGAGACGGAGTCTTGCTCTGTCGCCCAGGCTGGAGTGCAGTGGCGCGATCTTGGCTCCCTGCAAGCTCCGCCTCCCGGGTTCTTGCCATTCTCCTGCCTCAGCCTCCCGAGTAGCTGGAACTACAGGCGTCCGCCATCTCGCCCGGCTAATTTTTTGTATTTTCAGTAGAGACGGGGTTTCACCGTGTTAGCCAGGATGGTCTCGATCTCCTGACCTCGTGATCCGCCCGCCTCGGCCTCCCAAAGTGCTGGGATTACAGGCGTGAGCCACCGCGCCCGGCCTTGTTTCATTTTTAAAAATAACTTTATTGGGGTAAAATTTATGTGCCATGTAATTCACCCACTTAAAATATACAATTAATTTTTTTTTTTTGTATATTCACAGAATTTTGCAGCCATCAGCACAATCAAGTTTAGAACATTTTCATTACCCCAGAAAGAAACCTCATACCTAATAGCAGTCACTCCCCCCTTTTCCAATAGCCTGGAGAACCACTACTGTCCGTTCTGTTTCTATGGATTTGCCTATCCTGGACACTTCATAGAAGTGGAATTGTATTATGTATGGCTTTCTGTGTCTGGCTTCTGTCATTTAGCACAGTGTCTTCCAGGTTCATCCATGTTGCAGCATGTATCAGTATTCCATTCCTTTTTATTACTGAATAGTATTGCACTGTGTGGATAATCCCCCATTTTGTTTATCCATTCATCAGTTGTTGGACATTTCATCTGTTTCCACCTTTTGGCTATTATGAATAATGTGGCTATGAACCTTCATGTACAAGTTTTTGTGTGGATGTATGTTTTTGGTTCTCTTGGATATATAACTAGAAGTGGAATTACTGGGTCATATGGTGACTATGTTTAACCTTTTAAGGAACTGCAAACTAGTTTCAAAGATGGCTGTGCTATTATACATGCCCACCAGTACTGTGTGGGGGTTCTCACTTGTCTGCATACTTGCCTGTGTCATATTTGACTTAAAGGTTATTTTGACGGGAAACCAATTTGTCCTTTTTTTGGAAAGGGATGGCACCACAGATGTGACGCGGACAATGCATTTTGGGACCCCTACAGCCTACGAGAAGGTAAGGCGGAGGCCAAAACCTTAAGAGGTCCTCTCTGCTTTCTTAAGAAGAACATTGCTTTTATGAAAAGAGATAGTATAAAGAAGTAAAAATTACATGTGGGGTAGTAAAATGACTCACTGCTGTGGAGTCAGGCTTATCTGCTTTACGAGGTTCATGTAATTAATTATTGGAGTAAGACATTTGGAGAAATTTTTAAAGCATTCTGCTACGGTTAGGGCAGCTCGGTTGCAAGTTTAAATATAATAGCTTTGGCCTTCTCTTGAGTCAGGAAATGCCTTTGAGGCTGGGGATGAGATAGTGAAATATATGCTTTATAAGCAGTGTCTAGATTTGATTTTGAAGGCCACCCCCTTCTTTTTTCGAGATTCTTATTTCCAGGCTTAACTCTCTGGGAACTTTCTGAAATGACAGACTCTATTAACTTTCTGGTATGATTGGCATGGAAAGGGGAAAGAGAGCTGTGAGGCGGAGAGATGTGTACCAGGCGTCTGGAGACTTGGCTTCAGAGCTTCTCTGCCATTTACTAGCTCTGTGACGTTGAACAAAGCAGTCACCATCCATAAAAATAAGAATAAAAGGACTCACCTTCCCAGCTGCCTGTGAATTCCCTTGAGCCCAGGCAGTTCCTGGATCATAGTCACTGCTCAGCAAATGCTGATCGAGCACCTAAATGATTCTGTTTGTCCAAGGGAGCTCCTTCAGGAAGATTATCCAAGGAAAAGGGTTTTATGCAATGTAGTGGGGCAGGTTTCATTGTCTTGGTTCCTTGCCTTGTCCCTTTGTATGCACCAGTGCCTTAGAAGAGTTTAGACCTTGCGTCTAGGATTATTTCGGTGTGACTCTTTTTGTGCTCTTCAAAGAGCTCAACCAGGCTGAGGAGAAAGGAGTTTTAGTCCTGACTCTGCACCTTACTGGCAAGCCACTACACTTCTGAGTAGCACTTCTCTTGTCCGGACAGTGGGGATAACCCCTGAAGATAGGATGGTGGTAGGAAGCACAGCTGCTGAAGCAAGACTGCTTGGCCCCAAGGCCAGATGCTGCCACTTCCGCACTGTGTGATCTGGGCATGCTACTGAATCTCTGTGAAGCGAGGATAACAGTAGTGCCTCCATCGCGAAGTGTGGGATCAAACATGCAGGGCTTACAATAGTGTGTGGCACAGAGGACTCGCTCAGCAAATGTTAGCTAGGGTCATCCGTACTTTTTATTACTTTTCCATTCTTTCTAAGGCTCACGTGATGGAGTATGTCAGAGTGTTCATTATAAAGTCCTGTGGGGTCATCTCTCTGACAGTGCTCTTCTACTAAATTGAATTTCAAGATTTTCTGGGAAATTGGCCCCATGGCCAGGCTTTTTTTCCACCAGATTTTTTTCTTTTTACTTACGTTGTCTCTGTGATATTGCTAAAAACTTTAGCAGGCAGGATTTTGTGAACTACCAGAAAACTACAGGATTAGGCATCTGTCCCCATTCTGCAACATGCCCCTGGGTTTTCTTTGCAGGAATGCTTCACATATGTCCTCAAGGGCCATATAGCTGTGAGTGCAGCTGTTTTCCCGACTGGAACCAAAGGTAGGTGGTGCATTCTGTCACACGGCAGGCTCTTTTTCTTGTTCGAGAATCAAATATGTCTATGTTTGAGTGAAAGAACATGTCCTACCCTCACTGTGAGGTCCCTAGCCCACTTTAGGCCCAGCCAGGTGCTCATGGGGTGAGTCTGCAGAACCCACTGACTGAGCCCAGAGGCCTCAGGGAGCTGGGGTTAGGATTGGGCCCAGTACCCACTGTGCACCTTTCTCCTGACCACTTAGGTATTGGATGACACATGTGGATGGCTCCCAGGAGAGGACAAACCAGATGGGAAGGTGACAGGGCCTGAGTGGAAGTTGGTGCAGCCTCCTGTCTGCCCTTTAATACTGAGCCAGTGCTTCCTTTCTGGATTCTTAGGATTTATTTTACTGGGACCCTGACTTTAGCTATGTACTACTTTGCTTGAGGCCTGGTAGGTGGAGCATTGGACTGGGCATTGACAAGACGTGGGCCGCATTGCTTCTGGGTAGATGAGACGTGTACTCATCTCCCTAGGCCTCAGTTGCCTCATCTGTCATGCCTGCCTGCCTGCTTGCAGTCTGGTTAGAATCTCATCTTTGTAATTCTGAAACCTTAGGGTCGCAGAGCTGGGAAGGGAATGTCCGTGTCTTCTATGGCCTCTGTGTGCTGTAGGTGTCTATCGCACCTCACCAGCATCCTGAATGGATGATTGCCTAGCTTCGGACTGAACTTTGATTGTTCCTCAGGAGATTTGATTGTTAGAAAGTTCTTCCTTGTGCTGTGCTGAAATCTGAACCCTCCAGTAACTTACCTATTGGTTTCTGTTTCACGTTCTGGAGCCAAACGTAATAAATCTAATGTCTTAAAGCTCTGTACAAATATCATTAAGTGGCTCTTTCTATCTTTCAGGTCACCTTCTTGACTCCTTTGCCCGTTCAGCTTTATGGGATTCAGGCCTAGATTACTTGCACGGGACTGGACATGGTGTTGGGTCTTTTTTGAATGTCCATGAGGGTCCTTGCGGCATCAGTTACAAAACATTCTCTGATGAGCCCTTGGAGGCAGGCATGATTGTCACCGATGGTAAGTATCCATCACATATAGGGCATTCATGGATCCTTGAGCCTTTTTGAAAGCTATTTGTTGTTTTTTATTTTTTAATTAGTTTAAATTGGCAATAATTTTCCCTATCTAACAATAATGAAGTTTTCTGATTATAGAACTGATACATGTTCATTTTAGAAAAAACGAGATGGGAACTGTGTGAAAAGAAAATGAAAATCATTTGCAATCTAACCACTCAGGGGAAACATGACTTAATGTTTTGCTGTATTAGCTTTTGGTCTTTCAGATATGTAGATATCATTTTTTAAAAAAACCACTGAGATCATACTGGGCGTCTTGTCTATGTTCTGCTTTCTTACTTGATATACTGCTTTCCCCAGGTCATTGCCAAGTCTTTGTAAATATATTTTAATGCTTTCATTATTGTGTCTTATGGATGTGAACCATGATTTATTTAGTGGATCCATTGTTATTGTACTCCTTACCCTGTAGCCAGTGTGCAGGGACTTCAGAGTCTAGCTTTCTGTACCTCAAATGCTTATAAAAAAGTGGCCATATGAGAGAAGGTGGCATCTTTGGGCTCTTACACTGGATAGAGTGGGCCCTTCACCTGTTTCTTCTCCTTTGGAGTAGGGCAGTCATCCCAGGAGTGAAAGGTTCTCTCTGTGGACATCATCATCGTGGGCTGCTTCTCATTTTTGGGATTTGGTTTGTTTTAGAGCCTGGGTATTATGAAGATGGGGCTTTTGGAATTCGCATTGAGAATGTTGTTCTTGTGGTTCCTGTGAAGACCAAGGTGAGTATTTATTAAAAAATTTTTTCCTGTTCCTTAATGTGGGAAGATGAAGACTTAATGTCTTTGGAGCCAAGAGTATGCCATTCTGGGGCCAACATGGAGCCTTCTTCTCCAGATATCAGGGACTTTCCTGGAAACCACACTCCTTGCCTGCACAGCCAGAAAGAAAATCCTTAATGAACTGGGATCCAGAACTGGGATTCACGGACCATCAGGCTGATGCTTGCTTCACATAATTTGGGGCTCACAGTTTCCTATAGGCGGCCTGTTGTCTCTTCTGCTGGGGATGCCTGTTCAAGGTGCTAATTTCCAGGCCCATCCCAGACCCTAGAATCTCCACGGTGGGGGGCCTGGAAGCTGTAATTTTGTCACACTTCCCAGGTGACTTTTATTAGGTAAAGTTGAGGAACCCTGAGTTATCCAAGGGTCAGCCTCAAAGGCAATACAAGACAGGTGTTTCACCCTCTTCCCCCATCAGTGTTACCAAGGCTGCAGGGTTTTAGGCCCTAGGCTTTACCTAAAAGACCTGTTTGTGCCTCCTCCATTGGTGGAATTGAACAATTGGAGGGAAGTAGCTTCCTGTGTCAGCAAGGAGGTTGGCTGTGGGGATTTGCTCTCTGCTTTGGCATGGAAGTGACTATTCTTGGAAGTGACCTCCTGTCTTATTCCCAAAAGCTGCCATGAACAGAAACTCGACATATTCTTGTGTGCTCCAGTGGATAGATATGTTGTCGCCTGACGGGCCTGGCTGGGTCAAGACAGGCCACACACTTGACTGCTAAAAAAATGATATTGAGGACTTAAACCCCTGCATCCTGGAGAATCAAAACCAGAGATGCCCTTGAACCCAGACACCCCCACGCCCTGCCCCTGTTTCCTGTCACAGTAGACATTAGCCTTGTGGAACTGCTGCTGGGAGCCCCTCAGCACCCTTTGTTTGGCCCTTCCTGATGGCACAGGCCGTTGTTTGCGCAGTGGAGGAGCTCTTGGAAAGTGGCATCAGGTTTCCTGTGTGTCTGTGAAAAGTGGTGACCAGCTCACCACAACTTGGCTCCCAGTTACCCCTGGCTCTGAGGGATGGCATGCTGATGGAATGACCTCATGGTGCTTTAGCATAGTAAAGAGGAGTAAAAACGTCTATTTTCTTCTTTCTCCCACAGTATAATTTTAATAACCGGGGAAGCCTGACCTTTGAACCTCTAACTTTGGTTCCAATTCAGACCAAAATGATAGATGTGGATTCTCTTACAGACAAAGAGGTAATGGGGAAGTCTTGGTGGGCAGGCATGTTACTAGGGGAGATGGAGACTACCCTAAATAGTTCTAATCCATTCTCTAAATCCTAAATTCTCTAATTCATTTTCACTTTGTAATTTTTAAATTTAGAGGTCTAGGCCAGTTGAGTCTGAAAGCCCTAGGTTTTCTGAGGACTCTTGAGCTTTTCCTGTATTTGTTGGGCCTTCAGGTGGAGATAGTCCTGTTCCCCACAGCCATTCTAGGGCTGTAGGGTTTTGTGGGTGGAACTCGTACGCCACTGTTGAGCTGCACTGTTCCTCCGTAGCTGCACTGAGGCGTGTTTAGCAAATATGAGCCTATGTGTGTTCCCTACAAAAAGCCAGATGGATGGTGGGGCCTCTTGGCCACTGTACATACCAGATTGTTTTCTTGTGTTACATGAAACATTAACGAAATGCAAAGCAAAATCTATTATCGTGTGTCCCATTTTCACACAGACAAGGAGAAAGATAGTACCAGCCCTTCTCGGTTACTACTGTGGTCACTCTGGGGCAGTGAAACCCTTCACAAAGCCTGGGGCACAACAGTGCTTACTTGCTTAGCTCAGAGGGTTATGGGTCTTAACTCCTTCAGACCCTGGACTGATAAGGCCAGGTGAGATCGCAGTCCTGGGGACATGAGTAAGGCCTGAAGAGTCACACAGATGATCAAGGTCAGAGCAGAAACAAGGGTAAGAAATGGGGTAGGAACTGTTAGCACTAGACAGACAAAACAGTTCCCAAACCAGGAAACTGGAAGCCAGGAGGACACAAATTCCAGAGCAAGGCAGGGGTCAGAAGTTTCAATGAAAAGCAAATGACTGGTGGGAGCTGAAGGCAGGGTAAGCACGGTGGGTTACTCTGGGAATAAGATTTTGTTATTTGAGGCAGCCGCTGGCCTTTGAGTGCCTCTCAAGGCAGGAAAATTTCCTCACTGGTGCCCACTTGGGCCTTGTTCTTGGCGCTATAAAGGAAAGGGTCTTTGGGGGTCAAGGACCTTCCTTTCCACAGGAGCTGTGGAACGGGATTCTCCCAGCTAGAAGCCTCCTGCCTGTTCCAGCTCACAGATGGGTGACGAGAAAGGCCACCCACTTCCTGCTTAGCGTTCCTCTGTGCTTGAGTGCCTCTGCTTAACCATCCGTGCCCTTGGTTCAGCTGAACATTCGCACTCACAGGACCCACATGGGCCCTGCTGATACTGGGTGGGTTATGCAGCTTGCAGATGGATGTGGAAAAGGAGACTCAGCCTGTCAGCACAGTGTCCAGTGTGTCTCTTCAGCAGGAAGAGTCCTTCCAGTGTCCAGGGCTCTTGTCCAGTCCCTGTAAGTGTTGCCTTAGCTGAGAGGAAATGAGAACACATAGGTGGGCATGGGAGCCACCCTGCTTAGAATCCCTCTGCCCCATAGGAACCAGTGTCTTTTGTAATGGCCCTTGGGCACAGCTTCCAGGGACTTAGCAAGGGGCTTTCCAGTAATATGTCATTTCGTACTCTTGGAGTCCAAGACTATGGCTTCCTGCCAAGTAATTCTAGGTCATGCTGTCTTTCCTGTCCACATAAAGTGTACCCGTCAGGAGGCATTTCTCCCATATGACATTCCCCTTTATCCAGGGAAGTAGTGTATGAGGAAGTTTAAGTGAGGCCGTTTTTCCTTGAAGGAGAAAGAATCAGTCTACTCCCGTGACACTGGACATAGACCAGGGATCTGTGTTACGCTGTGGTTCATTCCTGCACCTTGCATGCCCACATCATTGAACTATTCTTTCGGCCAGTTACTCTTTGTGGGGCAGATAATGTCTTCTTAAAATACCTGGCTTTTAAAATATCTGGTCATTTGCCCTTTACTATTTAGCCTGTCTTTTGGAGTCACTTTAGGGACTTTTTGGTTGGCGTCTGCATTCTCATCACTTATCACCAGATGGCAGCAAAGGACCTTGTTCGGATGGGAATATGGCCAGCTGCAGACTGTCAGGGCCTTGTGATGGTCCTCAGGCCCCGCCGAGGCTGTCCACACTCCCACTTTTCCCTCCCTGCTCCCAACCAAAAGGGCTTTGGGAGTTTGGCTCTGGCCCCAGGCTTACACCAGGGTGCTGCCTTCGCCTTACTGTTGAGCTGCTTTGGACAGTAGGCTGCTTTGTAGCCCTGCTGGCCTTCCTGTGGACACATAGCAATTTGCCTGCTTTTGACATCGTTCCCTGCCCCCATCACTTCCCTGACTCCCAGAAGGGGCTAGTAGGCTAGTAGGCTCTTCTCAGTAGGGATTGGAACCTTGGCTGGGTCACAGCCATTTGGTAACACCTCCCTATCTGTCTGCTGTCAGTCCTTTGTAATTAATGGGCTTGTGTGCCCATCCTGACCCCAGCTGGGGTTATTTAAAGCCAGCTGGGCTTTGGTACCTGGCTGGATTGTAGTCCCTGAAGCCAGTACTTTTGTAACATCCCTGCCCTCCAAAATGGCCTTTGACTCATTTATGACAATCAGACCCGTGGCACTATCGGTCTCCTCAGCTTCCAGACAGCTACCCCATAGACAGTGGTGAGAGTGGCTTCTTGTCCTCTTGGTAAAACCTGCTTCACTCCAGACTTCACCTTTTTCCCTGTACAACCAAGGGGGATTTTGCCATCATGTCTAGTGGATCACTCCCTGTCCAGGCACCAAGTCCTGCCAGCAGGTCCTTCCTTTCACTCTCTTTTTGTCTCCTGCTCTTGTGGCATGTTGAGTTGAGAGTCTGAAAACTAAGCTTACTCCCAGCCCCACTCTGCTGTACCACAGTCTTTAACCACCACAGGTTTTGGGTTCATCTAGGCAGCTACACTCAAAAGACACTTATGGGCTTGACTGATCCTAGTTTTTTATTCACCTTTTTCAGTGGATATAGGATATGTAGCTCAGTGTGTTGGCAGGACAGTTTCGGGTGTCTCTCTTAGTAGGAGCTCTCAGAGAGTCCAGGGGCTCTTCCCCAGCTTACCGCCTCCCAGGATGGCTCAGGTGTAAGGGAATGAAGCCACACAGGTGGGAGCAGGAGCTACTGGCTTAGAGTCTACTGTCTATAATAGTAAACTGTTCTGGGGGCCTTTTCACCAGAAGCCATGAAGTCTGGTCCTATGTATTTCCAGGGAAACAGAACACAAGGAAAACACTTGTCTGTGAGTAAGGAGAAAGGGTGTTGCACACCTTTTCTCTCAGCTTGTGATCTTAGCACATGGGGGCCCTTGCTGTTGACCTGTTTATCCAGTTGTTAAAGATGGGGTGGTGAATACTGTGTCTGTCCTTCTCTCCCCTGCAGTGCGACTGGCTCAACAATTACCACCTGACCTGCAGGGACGTGATTGGGAAGGAATTGCAGAAACAGGGCCGCCAGGAAGCTCTCGAGTGGCTTATCAGAGAGACGCAACCCATCTCCAAACAGCATTAATACCTCCCTGGTTTTGTTTTTACAAAATGCTCTGGGGAAAGGAAGAAACGTGGCAGATCCCTGACATCTTTCCCCTTTCCTCTCCTTCTTCCCTACCTCCCCTTTTTACTTTAGACTTTAAGAAGAATAGAAAATCTTCTTATCCTCTTTGATATTTTATTGCAAACACTGAGTCTTTTATGATTTTTTAATTGTTGAGAACGAGCCAAGAATAAAATTGCTGCACCAGAAGGAGGGCCCCTCCAAAGTCGAACACTTGATGAAAGGGAGTTGCCCTGACTTCTCTGGCCAGTGATGGGGAAACAATGAGTGCTCCATGATGGTCATGTTCCAGGTGCTAGTACATCATTCATGATCACCTTAATGCTCATGAGACTATATTTATGATCAGTGAATAAAAATGTCAAAACTGTGCTTTGTCTTAGCTGTCTCTTTCTTCATGGTGCTGTCCCCCGGCATGTCAGGTGAGCTGATCTCCAGGGCTGCTGGCTCTGTGGCAGACATTTCCTAGGTGGTAGGGCCCCTTTGAGAAGAGACCCCTGGCTTTGCTGTACATTTGGGGGCTTATCTGTAAGCTTTTTCTTTTCTCTGGAAAACCTAATATGGTATTTTTATCTCAGTTTTTTTTTTCTGATTTTAAAATGTGTCACTGCTATGCAAAACACAATAAAAATTATGTCAAAAGTCAGTTTTCCAGAACTCACCCTATAGTAGATGCCTCAAGTGTCTTACCTACATGGCCACAGCTCTCATTGTTCTGTTACTTGTAGGCAGGATTCTGTGACAAGTGTCTGCAACTCCCATTCTGCAGGATTTCTTTTGACTTGTATATGTGGGGCAAGCTCCAAGGGTTGGAGAGTTAATGTCCCTGAGATCTCAGACCATCGTGTTTGGGGATGGGCAAATAGACTTCCTCATCCCTTGGCTAGGATATCTGAGATGTGTCTTACATTGTCACTCAGGGTTTTCCAGTGGGTTTGAGCCCCACTTGCCCACCATGGTAACTTGCTCAATAACCAGCCCTTTGTTTTCTTTGTTCTCTTCCGTGTCCTACTTTCTCCCTGTCCCATTAGTGTTTCCTGGTACCATCCTGAATGAACCATTTACATGCGAATCCTTGTTTGAGGGTCTGCTTTTTTATTAATCCAACCTGACATACTCCTTATGTATAACCACTATTATCTGCTTTATATTTTTGCTGACTCCTTTTTTTGTATTCAGAATTCACTAAAATACTGATTAGTTGTATATGTATAAAAGAATATGCCACATATGAACATAACATACCACATTTACAAACAGTGGATCGTTCTGTATGTATACAATTTTATCTTTTAACTTGGCAATACATTAGATCTAAGTATTTTTTAACGACAATTCCATTGTATAGTTATATTGTTTTTAAACTAGTCTCATTGACTTTTTAAAAACAATAATACTAGCATTTAGACATAATTAAAAAAAAAATTAGTCTTAAATCATATAGAAAACAAAAACTGGAATCTCAAGCTATCGGTACAATAATACTAGTTTTTTAAATTGCCCAAGTATTTATTTTTCTTGAGGTCTTTATTTCTTCATATTGCTTTGGGTTACTGTTTGATGTCCTTTCATTTTACTTTGCGGAACTCCTATAAGCATTTCTGGCAGGGTGGGTCTAGTGGTAATGAACTCCCTCAGCCTATGTTTACCTGGGAACCTCTTAATTTCTCCCTCACTTTTGAAAGACAGTTTTGCTGGATATAGGATTCTCTGTTTGCCAGTTTTTATTTTATTTTTTTCTTTTAACATTTTGAATATATTGGCCCACTGCCTTCTGGCCTCCAGCATTTCTGATGAGAAATCTGCAGGTAATCTCATTGAAGATCCCTTTTATGTGGTAAATAGCTTCTCTCTCACTGCTTTCAAGATTCTGTCTGTTTTTGACTTTTGGAAACTCAACTATAATGTATTTTGGTGTGTATGTCTTGGAGTTAATCTTACTTGGGGTTTATTGAGTTTCTTGGATGTTTACATTCATGTCTTTTACCAGATTTGGGAATTATACAGCCATTATTTCTTCAGATATTCTCTCTGCTGCTTTCTCTTTTCTCCTGGGACTCTTAGAGTATGTATTTTGGTCAGCTTGATGGTGTCCCACAGGTCTCTTAGGCTCTGTTTCCTTTAATCTTTTTTCTGTTTTTCAGACTCTAAAATTTCTATTATCCTGCCTTCAAGTTCACTGATTTTCTCTTTTGCCTGCCCATATCTGCTATGAATCCCTCTGGTGAATTTTTCATTTCAGTTTACTGTACTTTTCAGCTCCAGAATTTCATTTTGGTTTCTTTTTATGTTTATATCTCTTTATTGATACTTCCTTTTTTTCCTGTGGATTTATCTTTTTCTCTGAATGGGCCATACTTTCTTGTTTCTTTGTATGCCTTGTGAGTTTTGGTTGAAAATTGGATATTTGAATCTAATAATGTAACTCGAAATCAGATTCTCCTCCTTCCCTAGGATTTGCTCTCTTTTGTTAATGTGTGTTGTTATTATTATTATTTATTGTTATAAGGGAGTCTCTGGGCCAAGTATTAGTCTGAGGTATCAACTTAAGGTCTCTCAGGTTTTTTCTGAGCTTGAGCCTTTCTGTGCAGTTTCTAATTTCCCCTATATGTGCAGTTGTTTTTTGAATGTTGTAGTACTTAATGTCTGGCTCCCAATGAGGGAAAAAGAAAAATGAAGGGCAGAAAAAGGGCACTGGTCCTTTAAATCTTCTGGAAGTCACTTCAGCCAGAGGGGAAGAAGGGACTTCTAACAGTTGGGGGATGGGATGTACAGCAACAGTGGCTGCTCACCTCTTTGTCTGCATCTCTGTGTTCAGAAGCACTTATCAGAACACAGATCTCCAGCATTTGGCGGGCAAGTTTCCTTTTGTTCATTTTGGCTCCCGCAAGCTGTATGCCGGTTGCTCTGGGAACGTATGCATAAGTGCCTGCCAAGGGGTTAGAAGTAGACATTGGTAGCTGCTACTGTGCTAAGAGCTGAAATGGATTGAAATTAACATTAATTCACTATCCAAGTTGTCCCCTGGAAGTTGTAAGCCTTCAGTAGACTCCAGAGTTCTAAAGTAGTTACATCAGGCAGATTCTGCCAGTGCAGTTGTTGTCTAGGTGGAGAGACACTTTCCGAGTGCTTCCCACCACCTTCCCAGAATCCTCTCATTAAATCTTAAACCATAACTTTAATTTGAATGGCTTTGACAAGTGAATAAATATAAGCATACTTTGGCCATTTACCAAAGCATGGTTGTAAGTGCCCATTACTTTCTCCACCTGGGGGAGCAGAAAATGAAATGAAACAATCTCTATTTACCATTCAGAACCAGAGTGGTCCTAAATAGAGTGCCTAAAAACAAATGAACCAGCATTTATTTGCTTTTCGTCTCCCACCCTCCTCTCTCTCTCTCTCTTTTTTTTTTCTCTCAAGGATCATTGATTTCAATGTGCTGTGTGGGAGGAAGCAAGATTCACTGCTGCCTCTCAGAGTATATTTCTAACGACGTCAGGAAAGCATAGACGCAGTGCCTCCCGATAATAGGACATACTTTGATCCATCAAAGATAAATTCTTGAATGCCTTTTGTCCATGCTTGGTCATATTTCTAATATGTACCATAACACTGGACTTAAAAGAGAAATTTCTCCCCAAATGATAGAATGTAGTAAGCATGTTTCTCCTTTGTCATTCCTCTGGAAGTTGGAAGATTTCCCTTAGGACTCAGGCTGTTGTCTTCTCTGATATCCCAAAGGCTTCTCTTGCTAAGGAAATGTGAGGCATGAATCACAGTTGATTTGGAGTTGAAATAGCCATAACTCAAGTGTGACGGCAGCTCCACTGTTTGTTCATCAGGCTGTTAAGCATGTTACTTCCCAAGGCAGCCTCAGAGCAAAGTTTGATTTAATTGGCTCTAGCCCGAGAAGCAAAGGTAATAGGTGCTGGGTGCTTGGAGCTTCCTGCCTGGACCTGCTTTGTCTTGGCGTTAAGTCCAAGAGACATAAACTAGGCAAGATGGCCCCATAAGGATTGAGGACCAGAATAAAACTCTAATGTGCCAGAGCTCAGAGGGAAGATGAGGAGATAAAAATGTAGATCAAAAAAATCACTCTTCCTCACTTTTAAATAAATGATAAAATAAATGTTGGGTAGGAAAATGGGCATTGTGTTGAATTTAAAGAAGGAAGCTGATCTCGTTTCTTTGTCTTGCTCACTGTATTCCCAGGTGAAGTTTTATGTATAAGGTAGGAGGATTCAAGGAAGGGGACAGGTGTGGGGCCCCTGCTGTGAACACTCCAGGGGCTGACTTGTGGGAAGCTGGTTCGCCCTCTGGAAAGAGTCCATCTGCGCCTCCTGCCGGTGAGGGGCTGCCCCCACCACCCCAGCTCTCAGCGCTGCTTTAGTTTGAGGGCTGTGCCTGGCATCTGGCTGCCTGACAGTAACCATCAGTTGTTTCTCATCAGGCTCATTCCCAGTTAGGGGTGGGCAATTGTGAAAGGAACCAAGGGTGAACTAACAAGCCACGAGGGAGGTGTTGCCCTGGTGTTTCCCAACAACTGGGGGTTGATACCGGTAATGATGTGAAGACAACGTCGAGTGCTTTGTGGCATCTTTCAAGCACTGTTGGCCTCTAGCAGGAGACAAGATGGGGGACTGGGAGGGCTGCGAGAGGGGAGGAGGGATACTGTGCTTGCTACTTCCTGCAAGTAGTTGGTGCAGTGATTAAGAAATTTATAGAATCATGGATTAAGAACAATGATTCAGATCCTGGCAAGGTGGCAGTCATTGTGCCATAGTGTTTGAATCTCTCCAAATAACTTCATAAAAACACAGAGAAACTGGGGTAGAAAAACTAAAATTCAGGGATGAGCTTTGCACCAAATATACAGGTGTCAAGCATCTCCACAAACCCTTAATAAGAGCACGTGAAGACTAACCAGCGTATTATCAGCATCTGTGCAGGGGGAAGCCGAAGGAAGTGATGGCGTGTCTGATGGACCTGAGAACAGAACCCCGCAATAGCCATCAGGAGCTCAGAGTCTCAGTGAGCCAATCTGAGAACAGCCAGTAACAGCAGTTTGCACCTCCAGTGGGTGAGTATGAGAGGTTTTTGTAAGGCCTGCAGGGCCTGGAGCAGTCTGCACCCCAGGAACTCCCAGGACAAAGCCGCACGCTGAGGGATAGAGCTAAACAGGAGTAGGACAGGTACAACGGAGGCAAAGGAGAAAGAAGGTTCTTTTAGAGGGGAACAGAGCCAGGAGATCTCCAAAAGTAAATGCTGTGTTTTTGAATACTTCAGAAAATCAACAGAAAAGGGAGCTATAGAGCCCTAAATAAGAAAAAACTATTCTAACGTCTCCCAGAAGTTCAGAAAAATTTCAC